CTAGGCAGCATGGTCTCCGACCTTAGCCTGTTCCACAATGGAACAAACGTAATAAAAAAAATTATCATTGTAGCATCGTTAGCCTTATTTTTTTTAAATATGTGTAAGCCAACCCCATGTATACTATCGGTACACGCTGACGGGTCATCAGGGTGAAATGATAGGACAGGATGGGGAAAGCAGGTCAGTAGAGTAGTAATTTATTTTAATACAAAACTGTAATTTAATTGATCATACATAGTGCTTATAAGGCTTATAAGGTAGTTTGTGTCAATTCACATTTACATTTAACTACCTACTTTTATACAAATAAAAAAAATATTTAACAAATTTTCGTCATATTAAAAGTGACATTACTAAATAAATTCGATTTTTACAAATTTATTTATTAAAAAAAAAGACTCCAAAATTATTTTAAAATGTTTATTAAAAAGAAATAAAGTAATTAATACAGAATAATACTGGTTATCAAATAATTTCATTCAATATTACTTCAATAAAAAAAAATCATTACTATAATATGCTAATTATACAATTACATTATAAACTTTAAACTTTGTAAGCTTAATATTTTATTTAAACGAAATAGTATGAATGGATGAATGACAATTTATTTCAATAATCCATAACACTTACATAGACTGCAAGTAGTAGCAATAACAACATTTAACACAAAAAAAAAAAAAATAGAAAAAAAGTTTACATTTATATATAAAGTGTATTTGAAATCGGTCAGTGTTATGGAAATGAAAAAGGATGTCAATTCAGCTTAAAGTTCCTGCAGAAGCAGAAACGCTGATTTTCAATTAGCACCTCATCACCTAGCCCGGTCCATCAATCTCATAAATTAACATTTAGAGCAGTATAATACACAACATGCGCAAAGTTATTACTAACGTATTCAAACATAACACAGGCATACGGTGCCATCTGTCGACCGTTATTAGTCAATGTTTCCATGTTTTATCGCTAGTTAAGCGCTATCTGTTAAAATTTCTGTTTTTAGATTTATAGCACTTCATTCGTGCTTTTAACAAAAACAATTTGCTTCACAAAATTTATTGGGAACAGCGTCATCTATAAATTTGCTCTCGAACTAATATTCGTATGTACTTGTAAAATTGCTTTTAAAGCGTTACACTAGATGTCACCACATTTATAATAGGTATTAATTTTCAGTAGCAAATATCAAGGAAGGATTTTTCATCGACTCTATTTTGATAACAATTATCTGCTAGTTATGTAGTTGATGAGAGAGAAATAAACTGTTTTTTTTTTTTTTACAAAGTTTATATTACAAAAACACTTTCATAAGAGTGACTGATTAAAGAGACATATCTTTATTATTTGTATACCTACACGTACAAGGATAACAGGCGTTTGATACTTGGTTACCTTGCTTATCCTGTAAAATTAAAAGGTTTTTCTTTCAGATGACGTTCACTTGTCCATATATACAAACCAAACTGTTTACATTGAGGCTGATTCGTCGTTGATGCTGCAGCCTAGAGAACTGTTCTTGTCGATAGAAACAGGACTAAAATAGAGGTATCAATTGGAATCACTTTGTATAAAGTTTCCCTCAGGTAAAGCATCTATTCATAATCATCGTCATCATCATCATATTAGTCGTTAACTATCCACTGCTAATTATTGGCCTCTCTCTGTTGGAGGGTTTTGCCAGTACTTGTGTAGCTTACCAGGCGGGCTGGTAACAGCAGTTAGGTTTTGGCGATATTTTAAAAGGGACGCTTTCGACCATTCCTCGACTATTCAGTTTGGCTTAGTCGCCTCTTACGACACCCACTGGTAAGAAAGGGGTAGCCCATTTTATACCAGGACCACATGACAATCTGAACCATCTATTAGTGATAGTAAAATAAAAAGACCAGGACAGCTGCGGTTAGGACTTTTCACCAGGTGGGCCGTCACCTTCTTGCTTCTTCAAGTTATATTGTTAAAGTATATCCTATAGCCCAGAATACAAAGCCTATCTTACATTCAACATTCTGGTTTAAGCAAAGAATCGTTGCAGGTAATGTTTATAGTCATATTGAACGTGTGGTCCCGAAATAGAGTAGCCCAACCTTCTACCAATAAGAGAACTTAATGGTAGAAGGTTAGGGTCTCTCTTAAAACGTCTCTAAAACTATAGTTACGGTTGTCAACTCACCTGCCAAGCGTGGCAACTACTGGCAAAACAGCCCAATAGGGGGATGACTATATTGATAGGTGACAGTTACCACTTTCCTTTAGGTGAACTGTCAGAATATTCATAATTCCAAGTCGCAAAGAAACCTAAGCATACTGCCTGGGGGGAAAGGAATTGTTAGGAATGGGGTCTAATTGACCCATTTTTTTAATACAATTTAGAAAGGCAAACAAGCTGATGGCCCCCCTGATAGAAAGTGATAATCGTCGCCTATAGACATGAACAGTACCAGCGACATAACAGAGTATACTGTTTAGCCCATGATACCCCCCATGCGTTGCCATTCGTGAAGACTCAGGTGTTATTCCTCTGTACCCAGTAAATTCACGCCATATCCCACCCTTCAAAACGAAACACATCCATGCAAACACAACTGCTTCACGGCTGAAATTGCTAGTAATACACCCTGTCAGGTCGACCTCCACGTTGTTCCTGGAAACCATCGTGGTTAATCGTAGTGGAATTCGTCACGATGGGCTAACTCACCTTTTTTCATCGTCACCTATCATTTCTCACTGGTGCCCCGACAGCGTATACCGATAACGCGGGCGGAGAACCATTCCATTATCACCCATTAAAAAAAAAGCATACTGCCTACCGCACTTGGTATTACAGTTGTGAACATAAACCCGGATGGTTACCATCCACCGTCACCGTTCATCTGTTCACGCGTGCCCTGTCCGAGACTATTTGAAAGTGAGCGTTCGCCGTACGGAGTCGTCAACCTTTCCGCAAAATGTAATCGCGTGAGGTTTTATTTATGAAGCACGATCGTCGATATTGTCTGTCGGATAACATTAATTGAGATCGTGTTATTAGTGAGATAATTACTAGGAATTACACGGGATTGTGTTTATTCATTTATTTATTTCAATAGGTATACATTACAGAAAATTAACAATGTTACATTAATTTATACGGTACAATAATATTTTGTTTAAGCTAACCCTCCAAAAATATGCGTACACAGCATGATCAAAACATAATACACACAGCAAAATAAGTATGTAAATACAATATAATTTATACAACAAAGAATTATTTAATTTACCTAAACATTAATAACTATAAAGGCAAATCTACAAGCACTTGGATAATCATATACATACATACATACACATACACACATGCATACATACATATACATACACACACGTACACACATGCATACATACATACACATACACACGGTTTAAAAGCATTATGACAAATTTATTTGTTAAAGATGATCTAATACATAAAGTTTAGAGGTTGTTGAAACTATACAGTAAAAGCTCTTTATTAGCGCGAATACAGAAACCGTGAATATGGATAGCCGAATCACTTGTACAGCGGCGAAAGTATTTAACAACATACTTTAAGCATAGTTGTAATAAGGCCCGTTTTACTTTTTTATTAGTCTATTTGCCAACGCGTTTACTAAAGATACCGATCCCTTTTTATTAATATATACCGACTAGATCCGCGAATAAGGAGCTTTTACTGTATTTACCAGAGGAGGACTTTGTAGAAAAGTCGTCTGCTTGGCTAGCTCTGTGTGTGAAACAGTTGTGTTTGCATGGCTGTGTTTCGGTTTGAAGGGTGGGATGTGGCAATAAAATTATGGGTCCAGGGGCCTAACAATTTAGTCCACGGGAATAGCAATGCATGAAGGGTATAATGGACTATACAATATAACAGATTTATGACAATGGCTTTTTTTAATGGATGATAATAGCATGGTAACCCCACCCGCGTTATCGGTATACACTGGCGGGGCACCAGTGAAGGATGATAGGTGAGGATGAAGTAGGTCAGTTAGCCCATTGTGACGAATTCAACAAGAATTGTTCACGATGGTTTCCAGGGGGAATCACGTGGAGGTCGACCTAATAAGGCATATTGCTAGCAATGGGGCTGTCAAACTCCATTACTAACGATCCCTTTCCCCCTATGTCAATGGCTTATGTCCAGTAGTGGACGGATAATGGCTGAAATGATGGTGATGATGATGATGTCAATGACACTATTGATGTCTGTAGGTGTCAGTTAGCACTTTCCATCAAGTTGCATGAAAAAATACTAGGTTAAGTTTCAACTCTTTCTTTTATTTTATATGTCATACAGAAAAAATATGATATAAAAATATAAAAGGAGATGTGTGTTGATGTTGGTGATAGTTGTCTTAATTCACTTCATGAAAAACTATTGCAAATCGTTGACCTTTTAAGGCGATGAAAGGAAACTATTTATGTTTATAGATATATAGGTCAGATCAATCTCCACGTAGTCTTCTTTGGAAACCATCGTTTATTTATTTTTTATTAATTTAACTCTTTATTGCACCACAAACAAAAATATGCAATGACAAGTGAATAATTCAAGTGAAATGCAGTAACATAAATACAGATTGAAATATACACATAAAGGTACAAAAGGCGATCTTATCGCTAGGGCAATCTCTTACAACCTTTGGTTAAAGGAGAACAGATAGAAGTGGGTAGGTGGTGCAAGAGTGAATTAATAATTTTTCGTGCATAAAATACAAAACCTGTAATGCATCGTTATTAATTCTTCTAGAATTCGTCTCATTTTTCTTCTGCTATAGAGCAGCTCATTTTGTTTTGTTGTTGTGGTAAGTTTTATCTACATAAAATTGAAGATTTTCTTTAAAAAATTTCACCTTACACAACTGTTGTGTGCTACTGTCGAAAAGCGGCCAGAAGGTGAGAGAGAAGAAACGTTCGGTAGCGGTGCGTGTGCGCCGACCCGTCTCAGTCAAGCGCCGCCAGCGCCACATCGCAGTCCCTCCTGACAACAAACCACTTTCCAATTTCAAAAACCATTCGAACGGTACTCGCTCCGTCGCTCGTGCCGAGTACACGCGAAAGATCGCGATGCTTCGAAAATAAGACGTTCGAATTTTTTTCTTTATTTAAATATTGGAAAAAAAAATATTGTGGATTTTGGTGCTGTGCAAAAAAAAAAAAGAGGTTGTCAACGACTCTTTTGACATATTATGTTTTTTATTCATATGTGCCAGTGAAAAATGCTTCAGCCCAGATTATACAGATGTGGTAGTGCGATAATGGGGGGTAAAAGGAACTGTGCCCGCTGTGGATGGAGCTTTGTGTTGGCGATCGTTTTAGCATCCACTCTTGTGTCATGTCAAGGTGAGTGGCATTTTTTATATGACAGTAAATGTCGTGTTGGCTTCGATCACGATTCAGACACTAAATATATCTAGTTTTTCATTACTGTTGTAAATATTTTCCTATAATTTTGAAGCGTGTCTGAAGTGTACGCATTACAGGAAATAACAAACAAATGTCTATATTTTGAAATTTATATTCATATAGAGCTAATTTGTATATTAAATCTACATATACGATGGTACTGTGGTCCCGGCATAGAATGGGCCACCCCTGCCATTCCTGTGGGTATCGTAAGAGGCGAATAAGGAAACTTAATGGTCTAGGGATTGGCAGCAGCATCCCTCTAAAAACGTTTCTAAAAGCCTAACTGCAGTTGCCAATCCGCCTGCCAAGCGTGGCAACTACTGGCAAAACCCCCCAGAGCGGAGGAGACCCTATGTTTAGCAGCAGATAGTTAACGGCTGGTATGATGATGATGATGGTAGTATAAAAATGAGTGTATAATTTAGTTATAAAAGTATAAGAGTTAAATTTTTAGATGACTATAGAGAAGACATCAACGCGCAATAAACGAGAGCTTTTCAACATACGCGTAGATAAATACTCTTTATTGTTTGCTCCAAAAGATTACAATAGTAAACTTATTATAGTTACAAACAATTACAAGAAATTAAATGTTATTTTAATTAAATTAAATTAAATTGATAATACTAATTGTATTATAATGATTATACTTATTTAATAATTATGCATTTTTTAATTAATAAAAATCTTTATCATATAATTTACAGTACTTTTCCTGAATATATTATAGCTTTACAGACACGAAAGTATGTGTATAGGATTAAATTTTGTAATAAATTTATAGCGTAATAATTTATAGCAACAAATATACTATATACAACTTATTTTTGTATATACATATATATTTGATGAAAGTGTATGAGAAAAAAAATTATTATTACAAGTGTGACGAATAAGCCAAAGTCATAATGGAGAAAATAATAGTGTCGACCTTAAATAAAAAGAAAGGATCTGATGGATACTAAAAAAATGTATATCAGGCATTAACTGTCCACTGCTGAACATAGACCTCCCACATAAGTGGAGTTCTGCCAGTAGTTACCATTTTTGGCTGGCGGGTTGGTAACCGCAGTTACTCTTTGATGATGTTTTATGACGCTGCTGTCCAACCCTCTACCATTGGGGGAAAGGGATCGTTAGTAATGGAGATTGAAAATCCCATTGCTAGCAATATACCCAACCAGGTCTACCTCGTTGCGGTTCTCCCTGGAAACTATCATGTTTAATTCTTGATGAATTCATCATGATGAGCTAACCGGCCTGTTTTCATTCTCATCTATCACCCTTCACTGGTGCTCCGCCAGCGTATCCCGTTAGCGTAGGCGGGGTTACTATTCCATTTTTACCCAACAAAAAAAACCCTCGACCATTAATATTCTCTCAGTCGCCTCTTACGACACCCAGGGGAAATTAAAAGGTGGTCCATTCTATGCCGGGACCACACGGCAATTGTCCTAATTAACTTAATGGAGTAGTTAGAGGCAATTGTCGATTGCTGCCTGTTATTTAATAAAAAAAAGTTAGTATAAAAATTATGAATGGAGATGTCGGTAGGGGCCGCCCTAGACGGACGTATGTTGACCAAATAGGCGACGTGCTGAAGAAGGGCCAAATTAAAAGTACCCGTAACCGGCGAGCGTGTATGAAAAGATTGATAAATGTGGAAGAAGCGAAAGAGGTTTGTTTGAATCGAAGCATTTGGCGTTCCATTGTTTCTGCCTACCCTAATGTATGTATGTATGTATAAAAATTACTCTACGTCCATCAGCAGAGTAGTTTAGCAGTGAAATATAACAGACAGATTTACTTTCACGTACCATTATATCAGTGAGCATATATGTGTCTGAGAACTGTTCTTTGTGAACGAGTCGATGATGAATGGGTGAACGTGATTTGGTGGATTATTTTATAATCATTGGACGTGTTAAATGACTTTTACATTGGTGTTTATAGTATTTCGTAATTATTATTATTATATTATATTAATAAGTAATCAAAAGATTCGTATTTTTAATCGACTTTAAAAAGAAGGAGGTTTTCAACTCGGTTGTATTTTTTTATGTTTGTTACCTCATAACTGCGTCAGTTCCTATTGGATTTAGATTTTTTTTAAATTGAAAAATATACTACAGATTGGTGCAATAGAAATTTTATCAAAATTCGTACAGTAGTTTAATTTTTAGACTAAAATAACTGGTTTTGTTACAATTAAAATCGGTTTTTTATGGAACATAATCTTTAATTACAAATCCTAAGTATATTTTAAAATACTAATTTGAATAAAATATATGTATGTGTGAAAAGAGTGAACGAGAAAAGAACATTAATTAAAATAATAGAAAATAGAAGCGACAAAATGCTGGGCCACCTTATACGACATGACGATTTTTTTAAGAGCATAGTAATAGGAAAAATAGAGGGCAAAAGAGGTGTCATGTCGTATAGGGAGATCAAGGATATGGCCTGGGATAGAGCTGGCTGGAAGAAGATGCATGAATTAGTTGCATGGACAAGAGGAAACTCTTAAATGAAAAGAAGATGTGTAAGTAACTTTTCGCTTTAGTAAGCGAAAAGTTCGAAATAGTTTTCATACACCTGCATTTAAGAAGCAGGAAATCGAAAGAAATGGACCAGAAAGTGGTCTACTACTTATACCTTCTTTATAGAATGCTTATTCTTCTTAAGATGTTATCTCTTACCTGTGGTTGGCAAATATTATGGCGATCTTTACCATATCCACCGCTATCCTGGGAAGAGATCTGGAGCTCATCCGAATCACTGGATTTTCCCCTGTATTATATGCTGCAGATCACTATTTTCTTTTCCACATTATGTGTATTATAAAACGTTTAATGAGCTTGATTTCACTGATAGTTATCTTAGTGTAGTTACTAAATTAATTATATTCTCTAAAGTGATTCAGTTAATTTATTTCGAATATTTATAATTGTTTAAATAAGCAATTCACAATATAATTCAATAACATAATTATTTATATGCTTAAACTTACATGATATTTTATGAATTTTACTTAAAAAAAAACCTGTTGGGTTTTTTTAAGGAAACTCAATTTTCCTTCGATTGCAGCCTAATATGCGTTGTTTATGGGATACATCACACATTCGTAGATATGTAGTTGTTTCCATTTATTTTATGGTGTTTTTAAATGTGATTTTATTTTGTGTTATTTTATTAATAGCTTATTATTGATTTAGGTAGATAGACATGTTATTCGTTAAAAATGTAGCCTTCTACAGGTGAAAGATTTTTTTCTAAATCGAATTAGTTTTTGAGTTTATGTATTACAAACAAAAAATCAATGCTTCTTCTTTTTATTTTCAATATTAGTTTAAATATTCCAATTATGAACTGTTATTCACTTGAATTTTTATCCGAAAAAAATAATTACTATTTGATTCCTCTCAAATATTATAGTAATCTACAAAGATATAAACGTTCAATCAGAACTCGATCGCAAATCACAATTGCGTAAACAGTTGCGGTTAACAAACAAGCTAATAATAAGCAATTATTAATAGCTCATTAATAATTACGTACGCACTGAATCGGATGGTAATAGGATAGCCTTTTATTACATTGTACACGACTGATCTTTGGCTAACGATCGATGGTTATTTTGCAATGAATTTGTAATAACTCATTAACAATGTATGGATGTAAAATTTATTTATTTAATTTATTCGACGTAAAAGCTTGAAGGATAAATAAATACGAATGCAGTGATATAGTTAGATAGATAGATACTCTTTATTATTTCATCTAAAAGATTTAAATATTAAACTTATTATAGATACAAACAATTACAAGCATTCGGGTTTCTACTGAGAGGAGGGGGAGAGGTTTCCCAGGTTGTTATCATTTGCTACGCTTGGCAGGCACTTTCCTCCAGTTGGACCGTCCAAAGCGGTTACATCTTAATGATTACAACACAGTTTAATATAGTTAATTCTTGCATAATTAATTTTATAATATAATTTAATATATAAAGATGATGTGGCAAGATAAATAAATCATTAATTCGTTCTAAAATACCAGAGCCACGGCCGACCACAGACTTTAAAAGGTAGATCGGTCGATGGATCAATGTTGCAATGTATTACTATTTCGGTACGCAATAATGTAAGTAGCTATAAGGAATTTACGTATTAACTACTTTTAAATTACTTTAAATCATTCCATTACGGAAATATTTTTTTTATACAACTTAGAATGGCAAACAAGCTGACGGCCCACCTTATAGAAAGTGGTAATCGTCGCCTATAGACATGAGCAGTACTATGGACATAACAGAGTATACTGTTTCGCCCATAATACCCCCTATGCGTTGTCATTCCTGAGGACTCAGGTGTTATTCCTCTGTACCCTGTAAATTCACGCCAGTTGCTTGGGTACTTCTGTTCCATTCGTGTTTCAACCGTGAAGCAGTTGTGTTTGCATGGCTGTGTTTCGGTTTGAAGGGTGGGATATGGCGTGAATTTACTGGGTACAGAGGTCTATGGTACTGCTTATGTCAATAGGCGTCGGTTGTCATTTTCCATCAGGTGGGCCGTCAGCTTGTTTGCTATTCTAAGTTGTATAAAAAAAAACATTTATAATATTATTAGGATATGTTATGTATTGTATTGGAATGTTTTGTCAGTAATATATTTTTTAATGGATAGATAATGGAATATTCACCCCACCTGCGGTAAAGGTAAAGATGAAAGAAAGTCATTTGGCTTATCGTGACGAATTTACCAGGACTTAGCCACGATGGTTTCAAGGGGGGACCGCGTGGAGGTCGACCTGACAGGGATTATTATTAGAAATTGGTACTTACCTCCTCATTATGAGCGATCCCTTTCGCCCTACTATAATATTAGTTGGTGGGTATTACTGTTTATGTTAATTTTTGAAACCTTTTAACACGCTCT